CATTCTTCGACGAGGGCTTGAGTCTCATCTTTTTGTGTCTATGCTTTGATACTCGAGGTGTAATTAGCTGGTTTTAGCGAAAATTGTGTTTGATAGAATGCCTGCGAGAGATATTGTCTTGGAGTGCGATGGTGGCTGAGTACTCTCAGGGTTGGTTTTATGGGGAATGCAAGGAACTATTTAAAGAGATGTTGAGTTTAGTGGAGTTGAGGCCTAATGCAGTGACTGCAGTCATTGTTTTACAAGCTTGTGCTCAGTCAAATTATCTCATTTTTGGAATGGAAGTTCGTTGATTCGTCAATGAAAGTCAGATTGAAATGGATGTTTCACTATGTAATGCTGTTATTGGATTATATGCAAAAAGTGCGGTAGCTTGGATTATGCTTGGATTATATGCAAAAGGCCAGCATTGAATTAATGAGTAGATATAATGGTTGACTAATTAAAGCGATAATTATGTATTTATAAGTAAAAAATACGTCTGGTATGAGGCCTTTTGGGAAAACTAAAAGTAAAATCATGAGAGCTTATGCTTAAAGTGGACAATATCATACCATTGTGGAGTGTCGTTGTTCCAAACAGTAATGCCGTGATTTTTTATCTGGTTCAGAGCAACCAATAAACTCGACTTGTAGATATATTTCGAGCAATGCAGTTGGATGGTTGCAGACCGAATACTATGACACTTGCGAGCGTTCTTCCCATCTTCTCACATTTTTTAGCTCTAAAGATGGGAAAGAAATTCATGCTTATGCCGTTAGAAACGGTTACGATGGGAATGTTTGTGTTGTCACTGCTATCATTGATTCTTATGCTAAGTCTGGTTACCTCCACAGGGCACGACTGGTTTGTGATCAATTTAAAGGTAGGAGTCTAATCATTTGGACAGCAATAATTTCAGCCTATGCTGCCAATGGAGGTCCTAACTTTACTCTTGAGTTTTTTTTATGAGATTCTGACAAATGGGATTCGGCCTGATTCAGTAGCCTTTACTCCAGTGTGTTCCTGTGCCCATTCAGGGGAGTTAGATGAAGCCTGGAAGATATTTAACGTCTTGTTACCAGAGTATGGAATTCAACCACTAATCGAGCACTATGCTTGCATGGTTGGAGTTCTTATTCTAGCAGAAAAGCTCTCCGATGCTGTTGACTTTATTTCTAAAATGCCAATTGAACCCACTACAAAAGTTTGGGGTGCTTTGCTCGATGGGGCTTCTGTTGCTGGTGATGTTGAGCTTGGAAAGTGCGTTTTTGATAGTCTGCTTGACACCGAGCCTGAAAATACAGGTAACAATATCATCATGGATAACTTATATTCACTGTTTGGAAGGTGGAAAAAATCTGGCTAGGATAGGGATTTGATGGAGGAAGTTGTATTGAAGAAGATCCCAGGAAATAGACGGACAGAAACATGGGCAGGGTTACAGAGTTTGTAGCTAAAGACACTTCAAACGACAGGACTCCAGAGGTTTATGGAATGTTGGAAGGATTATTTGGGTCGATGAAATTACAACGTGATATGCAACATGATGTTAGAAATCACGATCCTCGACAATGGTATGATATTGTCCACTTTGAGCCTAATCTCTCATCGTTTTGCTTTTGGTTTCTCCGCCTCATATCAATAGTATAGTATTCCTTACTTATAAATCCATGATCGACCCATTAATTAATCAACGTGGAACTCTTTTCCCAAGAATCCTCAACACATAAGCTAGGTGTGGACTGTGGCAATGGTTAGTGCATGGGTGATCATTTAAGGAAACATGGGACCCAAAACAAGACGACATTGTAAAGCGCACCGGCGCGCCATTCCCCAGCTTGAATGCATGCTCCTCAAAGATAAACCAGTTTATTGATAGGTCTTGTTTCTTAACAGGAGAGTCTATCGCATCAGTTATTCCTTCATATCTTGTCGACTTATAACTGATTTCATCTCACCATGTGTGTTACCACCTAGCTTTAGCGAACTGCTTTCTTTATTGACCACCGTCCTTTCTGCCGGTCTTTTAACTATGCCTTCTCTTATTTATGAGCCAAGCGATATGCTTAGGGACAACAGGTTAACAAAAGCACAATGGCGAGTATTGATAGGATTGTTTGGAGGGAGTCCCATATTGGTTAATTAAGAGGATGATCGTGAATTTTTAAGTAAGGAATATTCTTCATTAGTATGAGACATTTTGAGAAACCAAAAGCAAAGCCATGAGAGCTTATGCTTAAAGTGGACAATATCAAATCATTCTGGAGAATCGTGATTCCTAACATTGACCCAACGAGGTAAATACATTCACAAACGCAAACGCAAGTACCAATGAAAAGGAATCTGAGATTTAGCTCTGCTGGTGGGTAATAAGGACCTTTGAGGTTCATAATAGTATGATTGAAGAATGATTGTATTTCTGACATGAGAGCAAAGTATGTGGCGAGTTTGAAAGGTTGTTTAACTTTATACAATAGTAGCCTGATGAAGATGGTTAGTTGATAGCTAGACAAACACTGCAGCTTGTAGGCTTCGTTAACTTCGGATACCCAGAGAAAGCTGAAAATGGTCCCAGATCGATGCTATTGCATAAAATATTCGATAACCCCAATAAAATCAACACTTTATGCTCTGTATACTTGTAAGGTGATTTTGGAATGCACTTTAATATTTCTTTCAACGGAGGTGCGTGACACTTCTCACTTTCAAAAGTAAGAATGCTGACTGGGCTTTGTTTTTTGCTTTGCTTTTCTTTCCTTTTCTTTCCACCTCTTTTTGGGAAAATGCAGCTAACTGTTTGAGATTATTACAGGGCATCTATTTTGTGATCTTTAACTGGATGGCGTGCCATTCTCCATTGCTTTGCTTGCTTCAGAAATCTTAATCATCATGCCTTTCAGCTGAAAAAACCTCCGCCCCACTTACCTTGATGATGAAATTGGTGAAGGCCATTCCCAGTTGAGACTATCCAACTTTCCTCAAGCTGCAGCTTTCAGGTATTGAAATGAAAATTTTCTAATATTAAATTCTTTCGCAATACTGCCACTAATATTTAACAATACTTTCAATATTAAAATGAATCGACGATCTGTGAAAGAAATTAAATTAAATTAAATAGAGATTTAGCTAAGTATGACCGACAATATTATTCCATTTTAAAAAGAAGTTTGTTCACTAAATCTTTTACTTTATTGTGATACATGTCATGGAATATAGATATCTTGGAATTTGTGTGAATAAGTTTAGACAATCTTCAATTTCCAACTATACATACTTCATAGCTATTTTCTTCTGTGTGTATCTAATTAATTATCATTTTAAAAATTATATTTAAAATCACATTGATTGAAACTTTCTCTAGACTTTCAACAAAAACATGAAAAAAATAGCTCGAATGGTATGATACTTTCGTCACTCTAAAATGAAAAAGACAATCTTGTGGTTCATTGTTTGTAAAAATACGTTATTAAGTGCTTCGTTCTATTTTTTCATTGAGGCCGAACCTAAATTGCGCCAAAAGATAGTTGTCCATGTATTAATAAGGGATGTATGGATTCTCGAGAAGAGAAGAGTCGAGGTGGTCCCTGGACCATCCTTATCCCACGAATGAGTAGAAAATTGGATCTACATTGGATATCACTTGAATCGACCGAATATTTCAATTTATCAAACAAGATTTCACACCCTAATAGGTAGTGTAGCAAGATTGGAACCAGCCATATTGAGAACTATGCAGCCTAACTTTAGAACACATGGAAATAGGCAATGATTTGTAAACCATGTGGGACTATCAATTTGCTGAAAAAAATAAGTATTTTGCCCATAACACAAGGCTAAGCTGGGAATTTTGAAAAAGGTTCGCAGACAAGGGCCACGATTGGTGCAGAGAGAGGGTGAGAGAGAGATTACACATGTGGTTGAGTCTTGTGGAATTCCACCGGCTTTGACGAAAGAGTGTTAGGTTGGAGGGGACAAAGGAAAGAGCCATGGATGGGCCACCCTTCCCTTTACTCTTTTCTGCTTGTTTTGTTGCGTTTTACAGAAAAAGGCAACCACTATCAGCTTATGGAAAAGAAAGGGAATCAATAATAGCATGGATTTGGCTAAATAGATAGTTAGTTTTTATTCTTTATTGGAGAAACTATTTAATATGGTTGGTCCGTTTTAACTAATGTTTTCGTTTCTGTTTTTATTCTCAGTATCATTTGATGTATGGTTTTGATTGAAAGCTAATCAATTATTTACTTTTATTTGATGGTTAGGTGCAAATGGAAAGCTAATGACGGTAATTCTTAGAATCATCGAAAAAAAGAAGAGGTATCTTTCGGTCGTGAAAAGGTTAGTTATGATCCCTCATGACTAGAATTTCTATCTACTTGTGATTGTTAAAGCATCTATTTTATCATCATAATCTAGAATTGAATCAATAAATAACCTGATTTTAATGATAAGAGTTTAGATAAATACGATCACTATCAAATATTGTTTTGTTCTCTTTAAATTTATGCATAATTCCATGTTCTATACTTGACCTCCCATCGAGATTAATTAATTATTGTTTTGATCCTTTTAAATTATATTGTATGTTTGACAAATATTAACAGTAAAAAAAGACATTTGGGTTGGTGTTTCATACCCAATTTCGAATTAAAAAATTAAAGGAAAGAAATGAGGGAAATTAAAGTGATAATGGAATATACCTAAAACTAAAATACCTCAAAATTTTAATTTCATTATTGAAGGAATTCACTTAATTAAGCTTTGAATTACAAATAAAGAAAATAATTAAAGAAAATCCAAAATTTAAAAAGCTAATAAAAATACTTTGAAAAATAGAAGAGCTGAAATTCCATTATAATCTAAGAATTAAATTTTTACATGTTATTTAGCTTATTAATTAAGACACTGAAATCCCATCAAGTGTTAAAAATAAATAAATAATAAATAAAAAAGAAGATTTTTTTTTCCATTAAAAGTTTAGTTTTTTTTTTTTCTTTAAAAATATCTAAATAATCAGTTATTAAGATAATTTAATATTTGAGCCGATAATAGGCAACAGCCAAATGGGTAACTTGGGATCCACATTAAAAGGTTCACACATCTCCTCTAAACTGAAGAGCAATCCGCTCGCGAGATCCCATAATGGAAGAATTAAAACCCTCCACTGTAATCATGGCCGCCCTCTCCACACTCTCTCCGCCGCATCTCTCCGATCTCTCCCACTCCATTTTCTCCGACGTCCACACCAGCCGCCGCCGCCTCACCTTCATCCTCTCTTCTCCAACCCTCTTTTCCTTCACTCTCCGCCACCTCAATTCCCTTTCCCTTTCCCACAAATCTCTCCTCGTCGCCCGCTTCCTTCTATCAGCCCTCCGCCGCCTCTCCCGTCCCTTCCAGACGCCGTCGAAGTCCTTCCCCCACCACCCTTCTACCGCCTTCGTTACCCCTCGCGACCTCGACGCCGCCGTCCTCCTCCTCCTTCTCTGCGATGTACGCCAGCATAATCCGGCCGCCCTCGAAACTCCGATCACCCATTGGCGATCGACCCTCTGTCGAATCTACTCCGATTCCCTCTTGACGATCTCTGGCATCGCCACCGGCGGCTCCGGGGCCATTATTCCGTACATTGAGACTGTGGGCAGGTGCTGGAAATTCGTGGGATTTGTTGTGAGCCGCAACGGCGGGAAGGCCCGGAGAGAGGTGGCGGCGTCGCCTGTCGCAGTGGTGGAGTTGCCGTCGGTGGCGGTGGGCGGCTGTATGGCGGTGGAATGTGTGATTTGTAAAGAGGAGATGAATGAAGGGAGAGACGCGTGTCAATTGCCTTGTGAGCACTTATTCCATTGGCTCTGTATTCTGCCATGGTTGAGGAAGAGGAACACGTGTCCCTGTTGCAGGTTTCAGCTTCCCACAGATGATATCTTCGGCGAGATCCAACGGCTCTGGGACATCCTCGTCAAGGTGGGCTCCCCATCTGATGGAGATTAACGGTCAAGATTGAACCGTTCTACGGAAGTATCACAGAACCAGATGCAGGGATTTGATTAACTCGGTTAGGCTAGTTTACACGTGCGGAGGAAACTAGAGGCCTGTATGGTATTAACCACAATGGGTCGTCGTTAGGGGAAGGGGAGAAGATGGGGTTTGATAACGACACGTGTGGTTCACCTAAGGAAGAAAACGATCAAATGAGATTTTTATTTTTTAGGGTTTAGGAATTGAGGGAAAATTGCTTGTGAATAAGCATTTTTGTATTTTGTTTTGTAGTGTTCATTCATTGTTTTCGCTTTGTTTATGATGTACAGAAGATTTAGAACTGTATAGTTGATTTTTATAAATTAATATTTTAGTCCATTTTAGTCATGGGGCTTTCTAGAGCATATTATACCATACTAAGTTCACACATTTAAATTTAATTCAATCCAAAATTTGTGTTTTATCGTTTTCCGGAAAACATGATGTTAATAAAAATTACAACAAATTACACTTGATCATTTATAGACGGTCAAGACTATTTTTGATGTTGACAAAACGTGAACATAATGGAATAAGTTTTTAAGTATCATATTCTCGAAGCACCAAACAATGAGCTATTAATAACTTTTGAAAGAATAACGATGTTTTAAGAAATAGAAGTAAAGTACAGAAGTATTTTTCAAAATGCATGGTCCCTTTAATCAATAAACCATATCCACAATTTCTATATTCCATAATGCATCCATAGTCTTATTTATAATCTAGCACGACTCTTAGTATACTTACCTTTTAAAGTTTTAAAGTTCGTGCAAGTAATTTAAAATTTTGTTCTCTAGCTGAATATATATAATATGACCAGAAAATTAGCAAGCTTTGTCCTCGAAACGAATATGAATTTTCAAGCATTTTATTTAATTTTAAAACATTAATTAAGACCAATTAATTTAGTAATAAGGTCTTAATTCCTTACGAACGACATATCGTTTGGAAGAAATGGGAAGAAGATAACGTACCGAGGAAGCATTCATCTAGCAGCGGAGAGACAGGATCACATGTGCCGACACCTCGTTTTGCCGAGGCGATGGGAGTAACAAACGACACCGTCTTTCTTGGAATATAGTAAACGCACAGGGTATAATTCGGAATGTCGGCGAACCTTACGTATTTTGGGCCCACTTCTTGACTGGAAATAAGACTACATGTCGTTTTTCTCTTACCCTACAGGAGGACATTAATTAACATATAATTCTTCTATTAAATTGACAATTTGTAATTATTCCATGGTATTGTTAACAAAACGTTAAATGTATCGAATAAAATTTGAACTACGGGAATTTTTATAAGGGCATTTAGACAATATAAAAACATTTTTTTATATAAAGAAAAAAAAGAGATTCAATCAATAAATAAAATATAATTGTACTTTGTAATTTTTTTAGTATTTTCAAAAATTTAAAAACAAGATCTTAATTTCAAAAATTGTTCAAAATGCGTTTGATGGTATATTTATATATAATAAAAATAGTTGTAATATTAATTAAATATTTTATAAAATTTCAAGCTTAAACAAACAAACAAAAGTAAAAAAAAAAAAAAAAGAAAAAGAAATCACCATTCAAAATCACTATCAAACGGGTCCTAAATTATCAGGTTACAATAAATTGAATCATTTTCTATATTTCCAATATTTTTTCTATCATTCAAGGTCAGATAAATGGAATGTTAGATACTTTTCTGGTCCAGCTTGAACTTGAGTTCCCTTTCAATCCAAGCTGTGTGAAATAGCCGGGAACCAGTTCTAGGGAAGGATATTTAATGCATTCTTGCCTTTTGCTGTTATTGTTGAAAGAGCAGAATGTCTATGATTGGGAACTGTGGGTTGAGTTCGGTTTGGTATTTAAAGAGCAATAAATGGATGGAATAAATGACAATGTTTAAACTTGGAAATAGATGAATCAAGACAGAATTACCAAACAGATGCCAGTTTTGCTCAGGATCTCCAGCATCTGAAGAAGACAGATTTTCAAAAAAGTTCCTTAAAAAAAATTGTTAAAGAGAGTTCATCTTTCCACTTTTTTTGACTATTTGAGATCTAATCCAAGCAGTTGTTCCAAGGCCAAGAAAATGGCACATAGTACCAAGGTGGACATCAAATGGAGGTCTCTCTCTCTCTTTCTCTTGCTCTAGACTTAAACTCTGATCTGGGTAGTGGTTTTGTCCAATCTCTCTTTCTCTCTATAATGGTGTTATCTATTTTCTCTCTAAAATTTGACGTAGGTTTTGTGCCATCTATCTTTTTCTCTAAAATGTGATGTGGGTATCTTTTTCTCTAAAATGTGATGTGGGTTTTGTGCTATGTACCTATCTTTCTAAACTTTGATGTGGATTTTGTGGCAGTGGCAACACAATGGAAGGAAGTGAAGTTTTGAAAACAATGGAGTGCCTGAGAAGAAGATTACTGGCAGAGAGGCAAGCATCATTACTTGCCAAAGAGGAGGCAGAGCTCATGGGCAAAAGGGTACTACCAATGCCAAAGTTCTCCTTGACTTTAGATCATAATTTGGTCCATTTTCCCTATTGTATTTCTTTCAAGCATTTTATCAAACATATTGCAGTCAACAGAGTTAGAGAAGAAAATCACAGAGCAGAATCAAATGAGAACAAAAGCAGAAAAGAAGCTTCAATTACTGAAGAAAAAGCTCGAATCACTTGACCTTTCTTTCACGATGTTGAACTCAGAACCGTCCATTTCGTCGGAAATTTGCGATGAAGATGAACCGAAAACCCTAACCGCAGCAACGTCTCTCCCAATCAATTCGCAGACCATCGGTGAAATTTCTCATTCAGACGAAGAGAATCCAAATGCTCGAGGCACTACCAGCTCGAGTTCCTCAGGTTCAGAAATTTTCTCCAACGAATCTTCGAAAGAAAAGATCGAAAATAGTGGAGAGGAATTCAATTCCGTGGACGATTCACTCGCATTTGTGGCCGTGAACTCTCCGGAAGAAACAGAAACAGGCGAGATGAAGCTGGTGATCAGTGAACGGGTAATTGAAGTTCTTAATGATCTGAAGCAGGCCAGAGAGAGAATTCAGCGCTCAATGAAGATCTGTGAACTTAACATGATGAAAGTTAGCCCAGTTTGAACTGAGAGATAGAGAAAGAAAGATTTTGGATTTGTAGATGGGCCTGATAGAAAAGCCCATCAGGTCCAACCTTCGTTTTTTTTTTTTGGGGATTATTGGTGTTATATAGAAGTTTTTGAAGGTGTGATGTGAAAGGCAATGCAAGATGAAGAGGGCACCAACATGAATGTTTGTGAGCTCAAAGCAAGACATCCACCAAACAACTGTAGAGGAAGAGACGCCTTTTCGAACTCATAAAAGAGAGGGTGAAACATCCCATATTGCCTTAAAAAACCAAGCTTCCTTTGGGACACATGAAATCATTCTTTTCAATGTTTATATATTATAACGGTTTCATGTCATGCTCGAGAACGACGCCGTTGATTTAATCACTATCTAAAAATGAAGACGTTCTAACTTTGCACTTCAACTCTTAAGAATATAATAATACTAATTTTCAATAAAAAAAAAAAAATTGAATAATATTTTCAATATTTAGACGGAAAAGTATAAACAAGTAGGATAGCTAAATTTGTATATTAAAAAAGACAAAGACTAAATTAGAATAAGTTCTAAGGTATATATATATATATTCTATTTTTGCAAGTTTTAACCAAAAAAGAAATATAATTATTATAGTTTCAAGTCAAAAAGTAGTATTAAAATTTTCAATATGACTTCTAATCCTTCAAATTCTATTTAGACTCGAATCTAACACGTAAGAATTCATATTTGTTCATAATTGCAAACAAACGAAATTATTTATTTAATTTAATGCACTCTTCATTACCAACTCCAACTAATTATTTATTGGGTCAATTCCATATTACTTTAAACTAATGACAATTCATCTAAAGCTGGATGCAACAAGGATAATTTAAGCCATTCAAATCACAGATGACTCTTTCCAATTTCGAAAGACACTCATTTTTAATGTATCAAAAGCAAACACGAGTACAAAAATCTAAATATTTACATATTTGGTGGGGGGTCTAAGAGGACAGTATGATCAATAAGATCCAGAGATGATCCCAGAAATAGGGCCTTGTGCATGTACCACTCATTTTGGTTGGTGTAATGTTCACATCACTACCAAAAAATTAGACTTTTTTTTTTGTATAAATATTAAAATAAAAACATTTTTCAGATACTTTCCAAATAAATGATAAATGAAAAGGCAAAGGGTAAAATTATATATATATATATATATATATAAAATAAAATAAAAAAGGTTTTTCCTTGGAGCCAATAATTTTCAATTCTTTTGGCTCTTGCTTCTCCAAATTTCAGACTAAGAGATAAGAAAAGAAATTCCATTTCCTTAATATGTCAAAATGAAAATTTCTTTTTATTGATTTGGCAACAAATTTGTTAGTTGATTGATTAGAAAACTCGGTAGCGGTTTGGCATCGTATGTTTATCATCAATCAGTTTTAACAGTAACATATAATCAAAAAATATTGAAATATAGAGACAAAATTCAAATATTCAGGCAATTTAGAAGAAAAAAAATGATATATTAGAGACTAAAACATATATTTAGCCAAAAAAATAATAAGAAAAATAATGAACAAAGGAGAAGAAATCCACCATAAAAATTATGTGAAAGAGAGACTCTTGTTTATGTCGGATAAGAGTACGATTAGAAAAGAAAAACCCTAAAATAAATTGTAATTTAAAAGAACTAATTTTATAAGTAGGATGATAACGACACTCGAATCTGTAGTATGACTTTTGATTGACAAATTATGAGCTTTGTAATTGACAGAATATAATTCCCTTCCCCACTTTTATCCTTTTCTCTTTTAACTTATTTCTCATCTCTTTCTCCCTATCTCTCTCTCTTTCATAATTGCTCGGCCATGCTGACAGCTATGCAATGCCATATCAGACTTAATTTCACAACCACTTTATTGTTGCTTTGTAATAGAGATACAGTTTTTAGAATTTTGATTTATTGAGCCAAAAACCTCGCTCAATCAATTCCTATATTTTGCTAATTAAGAAGGCTTAGGCTTAGGCTTAACTCATTAATGTCCTGATCTCTATACTACCAAGCCTAATAAGATGGGGGATAATGAAAGAAACCAATGCTGAAACCCACTTTGAAAAGTCTTCCTTTTTTTTTATTTAAAAAGAAATTATTAGGAGAAAATGCAAGGCAAAGCAAGGCAAGGCAAAGAGATTGTTGGATTTACAAGGAATGAAAAAATCCTCAATTGCAGATCAGAAATGGGTAATAAAAAGAGGGGTTTTCTGATTTAGATGACGAAAGTTTGCCTGAAAGAGTGGCTTATGGCTGATGATAAGGCGATTAGAAATGGTGGGTTTTGCTCATAAATTTCAGTTAAGAGGTTTTCATAATTGCAGTGTAGACATGAAATGGCTGAAGGCCCCAAATCCATAAAAAGCCCACCACTGGTCTAAAAAACAATACAGAAAATAGAAGGCAAGGGGAAAATACAGAAGAGAGAAGACAAGAAAGGAGGGGGATTGGGGGAGGGGTGAGGGACAACAATGTCAGATTTGTAGTTTGTTTAGTGTGTTTTTATTATCCCCATGCTAGATCGCATAAGAAAAAAGAAAAAGGAGAAAAGAAAAGAAGCACAGAGAAGAAGAAACTAACCCGGCTCGATCCTCTGTTGAAAAGCTTCCAAAAAAACCTTCATTGATTCCAATCGGCTGGGCTCTCCCTCCCTTTTTGATCACTCTGATCTCAGACCAAACGCTGCCACTTTCTTAACCATTATGTGCTTTTACAGCTCAGTCTGTTCCTGGAAGATGACACAGATGCAAGGGCCAAACCCATAAATCCCAGATTCAAGGTACACAGGACCAGCATCACCTCCATATTCTCTGAACTTGTATTAAGACTGTTGTTTTCTTGTCTCAAAAGGACATTTTGCAGTTATTTTAGCCCATACCTGTCCGGTCTTTATCTGCAAAACGAAAATTTGTTCATATTAATGGTGTCTGGATATATAGGGGGGTTCGTGGTATCAGGAATAACGGTTGTGAGTGTTGAGTATAAACAAAACGTGGAGCTGAGATTTGGTCTTGGTCATGTTCTTGATCTGGGATGATGAATTTTTTGATTGCTGGCTCATTTGGATGATACACATGAAACAGAAACTCCTGTAATTTTGTGTCCAGTGACTTGCCTTTTAGAAAAAATGGTTAAACCCTGCTGGAAATCCCATGATGATAATGATTCAAACGGACGAGTCGATGGATTGTTGTGGTCTAAGGATCTGGGGCACCATGCTTATGGACAATTCTCCATGGCAGTCATCCAAGCTAATAATGTGGTGGAAGATCAAAGCCAGCTTGAATCTGGGGCATTGAGTATGTCCAATCCAGGTCCACAGGGGACCTTCGTCGGAGTTTATGACGGTCATGCTGGAACTGAAGCTTCACGGTTCATCAATGACAATCTCTTCAGCAATCTCAAAAGTTGGTTCTCATCTTCATTTCAAATACTGTACAAACTGATTTCTTTTGGTTTTCTGGTTCTTGAATTATGCAGGAATTTAAGTTCCCACGAGCTTATTATGATGTGTCTTTGTGGTTCTTTGAAGTGCAGGATATGCATCTTTGCACCAGAGCATATCAGAAAACGTTATCAGGAAGGCTTTTGCAGCAACAGAAGAGGGATTTCTCTCTCTCGTCCAGAAACAGTGGCTTAATGAACCAAAGATTGCATCTGCTGGATCATGTTGTTTGGTGGGGATCATATGCAACGGACAGCTATATATTGCCAATGCAGGTGATTCGCGAGTAGTGCTCGGGAGAACTGAGAGAGCCACTAAAGAAATCATTGCCATTCAATTGTCCACAGAGCACAATGCGAGCATAGAATCAGTGAGAGATGAACTTCGGATGGTTCATCCAGAAGATCCTCAGATTGTGATCCTAAAACACAATGTCTGGCGTGTTAAAGGTATCATACAGGTAATTTCCTGAAATTTTCTCGAAATCTGAGAGTGTAGCTGTTGAAACTGTTAAGTGAAGCAATATATGGAAAGCCTCTAGAGTTCTGAATCTTTAAAAGCTTACCCCTGCAGGTTTCAAGATCCATTGGCGATGCATATTTGAAAAAGGCGAAGTTCAACAGACCTCCTCTGCCGCCTAAATTTCAACTGCCTGAGCCATTTTACGTACCAATCCTCAGTGCAGAACCATCAATACTGGTGCACAAACTCCGCCCAGATGATCAATATCTCATATTTGCTTCTGATGGCCTGTGGGAGCACATTAGCAACCAGAAGGCTGTTGACATCGTCAACAGCTATTCTCGAACTGTAAGAATACATCTTCTCATAAACCATCATGTTGATTGAATTGATGACTATCTCCTTACATATTCGTTGCCAAAGTTGTCTTGAATTTATGGTTCAACTTGGTGGAAACTGCAGGGAATAGCAAGGAGACTTGTCAAGGCTGCACTTCGAGAAGCAGCTAAAAAAAGAGAGATGAGATATTCAGACCTGAAAAAGATAGATAGAGGTGTGAGAAGGCATTTTCACGATGACATTTCTGTTGTAGTTGTGTTCTTAGATCCTCATTTGATCAATGGTAGGCCCTCTCCTTGTTCCTTGTCAATCAGAGGAGGTCTCCCTTCGTCAGAAAATTCCTAGCTGATAAACTTTGTTAACTTCTTTATATCATTCTCAATTTATTGACAATAGCTAGAAAAAATTCAGGCTTCTTAGAAAGATCTATTAATTTGTAAGATCTTCTATTGGCAAGTAAAATAGAAGATGATGGATGTAAATGTACAAAGTTCGTAAATTGTTTCTTCATGTAACAAAATGAAACTATATCCTTCATCTTTGTAAATCTTGTTTTTCCACATTGTCTAGTTCTTTACTATCAACATGTAATATTCTCTCGTTTTGAGAGTTGGTGTATAAATTGACAGGCATACAAATGCTAATACACTGTAGGATAAGCAAATAATGATATTTCGTATATATGAACTAGGCCTATAATATCATAACCTTCACCAATAAGTCTAATTGTACTCTGTTCCCCAAGAAAAGCAAGCCTGAAACATGCAGTGAAAGCCAAGTCTTTACAAGAAAGGTTAACTAGTCATTTCTTACCCCATCTGACAAGATATTGAAGGTTTTTCTAGACCCCTAGCAAGTGATAATTGAGTAGAAAAAAAAGGGATAAACGAACCAGAGCATAAGCAGTCACAAGGTCCTTGAAGCAATCCTAAACACTTATGGGCTCCGTCTGCCATTCTCGATCATGACCAAAGAGCCCTGCCATTTCATACTTTTTCAAGTATAACAACCAGAGCAGCAAAATGATGAGGGCAGAGACCTTGTGCTAGTAACTGCTATGGGGATAGAGGAAGAAGCAACAGGTGATATACATGCGTTCTTAGAATTATGGAAGCCTCTGATTTTCAATTGATCACCTTGTGTCAGTCAATCAACAAAATTTTTAGTTTTTCCCTCTGACAGATCCTTAAGAGCAACAAAAACAAAAAAGTAAACACTTTGTTCTGTAGGAAAGAATGGTTTCAAACCTCCTCATGTTGTCACATCTTATTCCCCGACTCAAAAAAAGGCCCTGGATGACAATAGTAATACTATGCATCAAGATTTCAGTGTGTAAATATGGAGAACGAAGCAAATCAGCGACAAAATCAATTTGAACCTGCAAAAGATAAACAAATCAATTAGATAACTTCCAAGTAAATTTAGTTGAATAAGGTCTGTAAGATGAAAATCAGAAATCTATCGATTGTCAATGCATGAAACGGTTGGACTAACTTCTTTGAGGCCACTGTCATGCTTTCCATAGAATCGTGTACTTCCCGAAAACAGAATCAGGCATTATACACTCTAGATTGATTACTGAACAACAGGTACATCCCCCTTCCTACCATTTTACTTGGATCAAACTCAAAAGAGCTTGCTTGAGAATTGGAAAAACGAGGATAATGATAGTCTAAATAATTTTAGTGGACCCTTCAATTTTGATGAAGAGAGAACAGTTCTGGACATTTTTAAACCTCACCTCCGTCTAATGGAGTCCAATATTATACATTTCAAACAAAAGAAATGGCCGCATCCTTCAACTAAAAAGGTTCAGGATACGAGGAACTAAATGGTTATTGGTTAAGAGCTCGGCTTGTCCAATTGGTTAAATGGATAATAGCTTGATTGAACATAAGACTTATAGCTTCTTATTGAATCAAAGGGTACTCTATGAAAATGGAGCAAATCTGGAAAGCCGAGCTTTATTCTTTGCCTCCTCGTCAGTAGACATAGACAAAGTCAATAGCTCAAATCTGAAAAACAGAAAAGATAGTCGAACTTGGGAAAGATTAATGGTACAAATTTCTGTGACACGATAGTAATAAAGCAAAGAGAGAATCTCTCTGCTCTTGCCTTTCTCTTCAGCTCCTCTGTGCTTTGGCCATTTCATCTGGCCCACATACTGAATCAATGGCGAACCTGCAAAATTTCCAGTTCACAAACGAAACGGCAGCTTTTTATATTATCCAACGACACAAGACAGGAAAACAAGGAAAAAAGGATGCGATATGAAGAAGCTTTGAACTATCTTCTGCATCCACTTCGAAAAATGAGAATTCGGAAAGTCTTGTTCGTAAATAAATGCATTGATCAGTTGATGAATTCAATGAATTCACTATCGACCATGAAACAACATGAAATTCAAGTAAGACAGAAATAATGAAATACGAAAATGTTCAGAACTATCTTCTGCATCCACTTCTTAAAAATGAGAATATAGAATATCCTGTTCGTGAACAAATGCATTAATCAACTGATGAATTCACTATCGATCCATGGAACAACATGAAATTCAGCCAAGGAAAAAATAGAATAGTACACACCTCAACTCCTCAGAGCCTAGGCATACAAACACACATCAAATCATACGAAAAAGAAACAATGCAACGAAACCGCAAAATCACCTCTCAGCTCGAGAGAATCGCTTTTCAGCCTCCGACAAACGTACAGGAATCCCGAACCGCTCTGCACGACGGATCTTCTTAAATATATCAAAAACAGAAGCATAATACTCCGGTGTTCTCCCCACGGCGGCACATTGAGATTCAATGCCTTCCTTCGTAGCTGTGAGAACTGCTTAAGGGGAAGGCCCGAAATCGGAGAAACGGCAATCTTGCTGTCGATCAACTCTGCCATTACCAGCGGCTGCGAATCCTAAATCTGGCCGTATGATTATTCTCGATCCAGGAAGAATTTTTTCTCTCAGTTCTGCTGAGAAATCGGTCGCCATTGAAGAACGAATATCGGGACCTTCGCGAAATTTAGAATGGCGATAAAGAGGGTGAGCTCTTCGATGCAGTACCGTTTCTTCAACGCCTGACCGGTTTGGCTGTTTCTAATATTTTTGGCGGTTCGATTTTTTTTGGCGGGTTGTATTTCGGGCACTGGGCAGAGGAATAACGGCGTTTTTCATTTTCCGATATGAAACGCCGTTAGACGATGGATTTTTAAAGTGAATTTCGTAAAAGTGATTTAAAAAAATAAGATAATCGTAAAACAAATATAATTATCAATAAAATATATTAGAATTTAAAAATTATTAAATTAATATATCTTAATCAATCCATTAATTAAAAATTTTATATTTATTAATAATTTCAATGAAATTATGTCACTAGAGACGTAACATGTCAAATTAATGATCATGAAAACATTTTTAATAATAAAATAAATAATAAAATAATCGCGAAAAAAAGAAAAAAGCTATCCACTTTGCTTGGGAGTTGGTCTTCTTAATATTTATTTTTCACCAAATTAAGCACTCAGCCGCCAGCTCGACCGCCACGTCACTGCTTGCGAATTCCCGTTTTAGACTGTGCTCCGGTGGCCTATATAAAGGCTCTTGCCCGCCATTTTCATTCTCACCAGTCCCTAATAACCTCCTCACACTCACACCCTCAAAATCTTCGAGCAAACACCGCCGTGAAGTTCGTGCCGGGAGAAATCGATGGCTACTAGTTTGTGAGTATTTCACGATGGAAGAAATGAGTTTCTCGTTGATGTTCATCTCTGGATTTTAGTTTCTTTTTTTGTTGTTGTTTTTTAGGACTTATTTGGTTGTGTTTTGGTTGTTTGATTTCCTTGTGTTTTTGTAGAAATGTGGTGCCGGAAGTTCGTCCGCCGTCATTAGAGGCCGACGCCGAACAGCCTCCACTCTTCGACGGAACTACCAGGTTGGTTGTTTGCTAGTTAAGTAACAATGTAGTAACCTAAAACTATTTAGTCTCGATACTTATACATAAAAACACATTTGATCATCTCGTATATATAAGAGACATGTTAAATGTTAACAAAATTTTATATGGGAAGAACTATGTCGTTATAGTTTTAGATTAGAAGAACTAAATTTCTATGTATTCAATTTCAGATATCAAATCAGATTAAAGTTTAAAGATTAAATTCTTACTTTGTGAACGAAAATTATTGTTAACCGAAGCTAATTTGTATATGGATTGTCGCTGGAGAAATTCTCTAACCCAAAGATTCTGCAATTTGTGGCTCTGTTTCTAAAGGTTGTATATAGCTTACTATTGCCCGTTTGCACAGCGTGCTTGGATCACAAGAAATTACAAGGTGATTTCTCTGTTCAGTGCTGGGTTATTGCCTGAGATTTTTACTTACAAGCTGCTGGTTTCTCCTTTTGCTTTTGGACATCATTTTTCTTCTTGTTTTTTTGGGGGGTTGCAGGGACTACAAGATCAAATTAAACTAGTGCCTCTAAACCTTCAAAACAGGCCTGCCTGGTATAAGGAAAAAGTATACCCTTCAAACAAGGCAAGTTCAAGTTGGTCTTCATACTCTTTATACGATTAAATGATTTGTTTGTCATTGAACTTTAGTCTAACCTGGTTTGATACACATATAATGTCACTGGGACATTGCATAGATTCGTGTTTTAAATTATGACCCAAATCTTGTTTCCAACTTGAAAACAAAGTGGCTTGGTAATTTTGATGGATAAGAACCAAGATGAATGTTAATCTTGACTAAAATAAAATACTTGAAAGTAGAAACAAAACAAGATTTGCAAGAGACCAAAAAGACTAAATCAGTCCAACAGTTAGTTCTTTAAAATTAGTCAAGATCCAATGTAAGCTAGCCGAATATGCAAAAGTACTCAAGAACCAAATGAAGTGGGATTTAAACATGGTAACTATGGAGTTTCCTTGAGGGAAATGCTTGGATTACATGATTGAGGATTAACAACAATGGGATTCCTTCTTATTTTCAGGTGCCAGCTTTGGAACACAATGGGAAAGTTACAGGAGAAAGCCTTGATTTGATCAAATACATAGATAGCAACTTTGAAGGACCTTCTCTTTTCCCAGATGTGAGTTGGCAAAATTTCTGTTGCTTCGTAGCCTTTCTTAAGCTCATTGAGATGGCTTTACTGTCTAAAACACTGAAAGTACTTCTATCATTCAAATTATAGGATCCTGTTAAAAAACAATTTGGTGAAGAGTTGCTAGCTTATACTGACACATTTATTGGGGCGGTATACCCTTCATTTAAGGGTGACCCAGCCAAGGAAGCAGGTAATGGCCCTTCATCTCTCTCTAGTGTTTTCTTTAGTTATTGTTACAACAAGAGCTGATTTTGAAGAACTTCTCTTCAGGTCCTCAATTTGATTACCTGGAGACTGCTCTGCAAAAATTTGATGATGGGCCATTCTTTTTGGGTCAATTCAGTGGGGTAATTTTACTTTATTTTATTTATTGTTTTATCTTATATCTATGAGTGTATATATGGCCTACCATTACTCAATTATTCTCTACACCCCTACTACTGTTCACTTATTATGATTCATGAAAACACACTAAAAGTGTCTCGTTCATTATACTTTGGGAGGCATTTAGCCTAAATTGGGTCGAGTTGAATTTGACATCTTCAACTCATCAACTTTAATTTTGAGCATAGTGTTTACTATTGAAATCTACTTAGGGTTCGCTATTTAAGTATTATTAATTTAAATATTTTTATAATTTTTCAAGGATTATCCATGAAAATTCAGATTTTATTGATATTTGTATAAAAGTAAGACTTCAATGTTTTTGTCCACATCTGCATTTTAAACTTTGATGTTAAGTATCGTAATTCAAAATTCTAGGAAATCTAGCAAAATATGGTTTTTTTTTTTTTTTTTTTTTTTTTTTTTTTTTTTTTTTTTTTTTTTTTTTTTTTT